CCAAAAATTAAATGCATCTTGATTGCATTTTGATTCATTTCAGACCACAAAAAGTGGTGGAAATCTTCAATTTCATCCTCTTTGTCTTTAATTGTGGGTGTATATATTTGAGCAATCAGTCCTGTTAACAGGTTTGCTTCGTATGCATATGGATACCATGTTCTCACCCACCACACTGTGCTTTAGGATAAACCTTGATATTTCCTTTTCATATTGTATGTAACACCCTTCTTCCTCAGTTCGTCATTCCTGGCATAGTAGATCACGTAATCATCCAACTCAAAGTGGTCCATATTCGTCTATTTCACTTCATGAATACTTAGGATGCCGATCTTCATGCATTCCATCTCATTTTTTAAAACTTCCGGACTGCCTATCTTCATGCCATGTACCTTTCATGTTCCAATTATTATGGTCGTTGACAGCTGTTTTGCCTCATATTTGAGTGACTTCCCATCGGAGCTCTACCTCTCATACTACAGCTTCCCACGCTCCTCTGTTGATGACAATTATATGGTCACTTGTGCAATGCGATCAATGTCATGTTGGTTTTGCCTGTCTTCTGTCTATATCCATTCTGGATTACAATATTCTTTTAGGAAGAGAGGGCAGCTAATTGCTTTTGTGGGTCTCAGACGATCAGCAAGTAACACATAGCTGGACACACCGAACATTGTGTGACGAGTTTGAGTCGGTCTCCTGCTGGGTGACTGACTGAAGGTGAATCTATCAAGTCCAGCTCAGAGCACGTCTCTCCTTGTGTCTCTGACATCTCTGTAGGTGCCATTGCATTATCTTTGTGCTTTTGTTACGTTAAACCCATCTCTAGAGTGCTGTTATCACTATATTTTTTTTCAGATCGAGGGCACACAACAGAGAGTTACTGAGAGGGAGAAAAGCCCTGAAAGTGCACTGGGTGAAGTTACAGAAAAATCTGTTTTCTAACCCAGATCTCACTGCCATTATTGAGTGATTCACAGTGAACCTCTGCCTAGCTTGTGAGGCTATAGATTTTTATGGGAGGAGAATGGCCGTCTTTCTTCTATATAGAAACTAGTGGATTTGAACTATCAACCTTTCAGTCGGTCACCTTGCACATTATGAACTAGGCTGAGTTAGAGCTGATTTGACAACTCCTTGGGTGACGTAGGATAGGCAGTGTCCCTATCAGTTGTTTATAGGGTCTCTATGAGCCATACCTTTTCAACATGTATGCAGAGCAGATTATCTGAGAGGCTGGGCTCTATGAGGAGAGTTGTGGCATCAGGATTGGTGGACGATCTATGAACAATCTGCGTTATACAGATGACACAACCCTGCTTGCTGAAACTGAGGAGGACCTCATGCACTTGCTGCGAGGGTCAAGGACTGCAGCCTTCAGTATGGACTGAGGCTCAATGTCAAGAAGACAAAGATTCTCACCACTGGACTAATTGGCAGCGTCAGGATGGATGGCGAAGAGATTGAGATTGTTCACAGCTTCAGTTTGCTTGGCTCCACAGTCAACACTCTTGGCACCAGCAGTCAGGAAATAAAAAAGCGTATCGTGATGGGAAAGTCTGCTATTAGGGACCTCTCTAAAGTACTCAGGAGCAACGGTGTCTCTCTGGAGACTAAGGTGCGCCTGATACAGGCCATGGTCTTTGCAATCGTTTGTTATGCATCAGAGAGTTGGACAATGACTAGGGAGGACAGAAGGAGAGTGGATGCTTTTGAGCTGTGGTGTTGGAGAAGGGTACTGAATGTACCATGGACTGCCAGGAAAACAAACAGATTCATCTCGGAGAGGATTAAACCAAGCTACTCCTTGGAGGCAAGGATTCTGGGGCTTCGTCTGACATACTTTGGACATGTTGCCAGGAGGACATCATGCTTGGGAGGGTGGAGGGACAGCTCAGGAGGGGAAGACCCTCTATGAGATGTATTGATTCGGTGACTGGGGTAATCGGGATGGGTGTGTCAGAGGCGGTGCGGTTGGCGCAGGATAGAGCAGGGTTCAGGGCTGTTGTGCATAGGGTCGCTATGAGTCGGAAACTACTCGACGGCACATAACAACAACAACAATGAGCCATCCTCAACTTGATGGCATCTAACAACAACAAAAATCACAATTCAGATATGTTATTGCAACAGACAATTTACTCTCCCTAACATTAAGATTTCACATCTTTAAAGGGACAATATTTCTCTATTTGCCCTACTTTTGAGGGTTGGAAAAGGAAAACAAAACCTGGACAACTACTAGGGATGCAAGAAGGAGAATTAATGCCTTTGAGCTGTGGTGCTGGAGTATTGAATATACCATGGACTGCTAGGAGAACAAGCAGGTTCATCCAGGAGAGGGTGAAACCACACTGCTCCTTAGAGGCAAGGATTCTGAAGCTCTGTCTGACATACTTTGGGCATGTTGCAAAGAGAGATCAATCCTTGTAGAGAGGGGCCTCATGCTTGGGAGGGTAGAGGGACAGCACAAGAGAGGAAGACCCTGGATGAGAGGGATTAATTCAGTGACTGGGATAATGGGGATGAGTGTGTCAGAGGTTATGACCTTGGTACAGGATAGAGCAGTGGTCAGAGCTGTTGTACATAGTGTGGCTATGAGTTACAGAGGCTTAACAGCATATAACAACAACAACAATATGTAGGGGGGAAAAATCCAGTGGGGATCTGAAAAGACAAGTTAATTTTGGGCATAGATCAATGATGATTAATTTTATAAAACACAATATGTGGGAATTATTTAATGAAATGCAATATGAATGAAGGAATGTGTGAAACACAATGTACATGAATGTTGTATGCAAACCAATATAAAAGTGTATAGAATATTTTAAAAAGAACCACAAGGCTTTGGAAGAGTTTAGTGGCATCAAGTATCAAGTCATCACCGTCAGGAGGCACTGAGTATTTAATAAACATCATAGCAGGCCCACTTTAAATAATGCTGGTGGTTTTAAACGCAAGAGTGAATTCTGGGGGTGATGATGATTTTAAAGTAGCTTACTTTTATGATACATAAAAAAGAATCACATACACTTGTAGGCTATGCATTAATTATTTTTCATAAAGATTGAAATTATAGTCCTGCCATAAAAGATTAAACCAAACTGAAGACTGCAAACCATAATTCTGACTTTTGAGGGTGTGTTAGCAAGTCTGAGTTTGTACTTACCTCCCTGTGGAAAGAACTGAGAGTAAATCTCTTTGAAAGTTTCTTCGTTAACAACACCACTGGGGCATTCCTAGAGAAAATGACAAAAACCCGATGTGAGTAAAATGTTCATAAAAGGATTTTTTTTGGTGTGTGTTTTTGGTTTTTGCACATTTCGGAGCAGCGCTGTCTCCTGTGCAAAGCTGTTCCAAGGGCGGTAACTACCCATCCATTATGACAAAGGGAAGGAGGGAACACTCACTATCAGATACTCTTCATCCCAGTTATCACAGATTGGAAAAAGAATGCAGGGGTAAACATGTTTACACATGATGAGTACTAACAAGCTGTTCTGGAATGTTCGAGAACTCAATGTTGGTTTTAAGAAATCATGTATATTGTTAGTGAAATAAGAAGGTATTATGTTGTTTCTCATGCAGCAAAGATCTTGACAGATGGTAATAGATTGTTGTTGTGTATCATCGAGTTGGAACCAACCCATGGTTGGCCCTTCAGTAGATTTTAAGAATAAACCACATAGAAAGAGACTACTCATCCTTCTTCTGTGGAGCAGCTGATGGATTCGAACCATGTACTTTAAGGACTGTAGTACACCTTGCTACAACTAGGCCACTGTTGTGTGCCGCTGAGTTGCTTGCGACTCATAGCAACCCAGTGTACAAGATCCTTAAACCCTATTCTGTGCTCTATTCTGTACCAACCTCACTGTCTGCAACACACCTACTCCCATTACCCTAATCACTGAATTCATCCATCTCATTGAGGGTCTTTCTCTCCCGTATTGTCCCTCCACCCTCCCGAACATGTTTTCCCTCTCCAAGGACTGGTCCCTCCTTGCAACATGCCCAAAGTATGTCAGACAAAGCTTCAGAATCTTTGACTCCAAGGAGCAGCCTGGTTTCACCTTCTCTAGGTCGAACCTGTTTGTTCTCCTAGCAGTCCATGATATATTTGATACTCTTTGCCAGCACCACAGCTCAAAGGCATCAATTCTCTATCATCCCTAGTCACTGTCCAACTCTCTGATGATCAGGAGCACCTTAGTCTCCAGCCTGATGTTGTTGCTCTTCAGTGCTCTGGAGAGGTCCCTGACGGCTGTCTTTCCCAATGTCCTTCGTCTCTTGATTTCCTGGCTGCTGGTATGAAGACTGTTGATTGTGGAACCAAGCAAACTAAAACTGTTAACAATCTTAATCTCCCAATTAGGTGCCATCAAGTCGACCCGGTGTACGTCAAATGGAAACCTCACCCTATCCTGCACTGTGTTCGTGTTCTCCACCAGATTCAAGCCCACTGTTGCATGCACTGTGTGAATTCACTCCATTGAGGGTCTTCTCCCCTTTTGATAACCCTGCACTTGCCCCAGCATGATCCCTTTTTCCAAGGACCAGCCCCTCCTGAGCATGTTTTTTACTAAACCATGCCCTCTTTCCTCTGGAGGCTTCTTTCATCCACACAATCCAAACCTGAATGAGGGAACTGGGTGCTCTAGGAGTGTCTGGGGAACTCCAAGAAGCTAGAAAGAGGACTCACTCAATTCATTGCTATAAAGTTGGAAGTGACTCATTGATGACCCTCCAGCGGGTTTGCTGATGCTGTAAATTGCTTGAGGAGATCAAATCTGTCTTTCTTTTCTTGAGCTGCTGGTGAATTTAAGCTGCCAGAGAAGTTCCACATTTGGGTGTACAGTGCATCTCCCTATGGACTTGGCCACCAGAGTTTCCTCTAAATGGGAACTTTCATTCCATGTTCATGGGTACACATAGACTTGATTTTGCAACAAGTGACCTTGAATGAGACCCAAGTCCTACTAAAGAGTGGTTTTAACTCAAAGAGGACCCTTCATCATGAGTTTGAGGCTATGAATTCTTAATGGATGGAGACTGTCTATCTTCCTTCTAGGGAGCTGCTGGTGGCATCAGTTTGCCAAATACTTGCAGCTTTTTGGTCAACGGTTGTAACACGCTGCCCTATTGGACTGTACCATGAGAGATGCATCTAGGAAAGACAAGATTCAAAAACTTTTAAACTTCTATAGAAGAAGGTCTCAAAAGAAACAGACCAAGAACCAAAGTCACCACTATTGACTTTAATGCACAGAAACCTTATAAGATAGAATGGAATTGCCCATGAGTTCTCCAAGGCTAGCAACCTTTATAGAAGCAGACTGCCTCATTTTTCTCATGATAATGATAGTGGATTTTACCCATAGACATTGGGGTTAGCAGCCCAGTACTTAATCTACCGTGCCACCAGGGCTTTTGTAAAGAGCTGAATTCAATTCATTCCCATTTGTGTCCCACAGGTAAAGTAACTTGAGACTGATTAATAATTGACCTTGTATATTGTCCTACTAATAATTTGCTGAGGCCACAGGGCCAAGCTATCCTTTGCAGAGTTGTTGTGTTGTTGCCTGTGACTCATAGCGACCCTATGTACAATAGTCCTAAACCCTGCCCCATCTGATGCCAATCTCATTGTCTCCAACACACCTACCCCCATTACCCCAGTCACTGATTGAATGCATCTCATTGAGGGTCTTCCTCTCCTGTTCTGTCCCTCCAACCTCCTAAGCATAGTGTCCCTCTCCAAGGACTGATCCCTCCTTGCAAAATGCCCAAAGTATGTCAGATAAAACTTCAGAATCCTTGTCTCCAAGGAGCAGCCCAACTTCACCCTCTCCAGGACAAACCTGTTTGTTCTCCTAGCAGTCCATGGTATATTCAGTACTCTTCTCTAACACCACAGCTCAAAGGCATCAATTCTCCTTCTATCATTCCTAGTTATTGTCCAGCTCTCTGATGCATAGCAAGGGATCACAAAGACCATAGCATGTATCAAGTGCACCTTAGTCTCTAGACTGACATCATTGCTCCTCAGTACATTGGAGAGGTCTTTAACCGCAGATTTTCCCATCATATTCCATCTTTTAATTTCATGACTTCTGGTGCCAGGAGTGTTGACTGTGGATCCAAGCAAACCAAAACTGTGAACAATCTCTTCACCATCCATGATGATGGCGAGAACCTTTGTTTTCTTGATATTGAGCCTCAATCCACACTGAAGACAGCAGTCCCTGACATTCCACAGCAAATACTTCCTTTGGAGAGTAGATTTGTTGTTTTCTCAAAAAAACTCCCCCTGAATTTCCAGGCTGCTCCTTAGAGGCAAGGATTCGGAGGCTTTGTCTAACATACTTTGGGTATGTTGCAAGGAGAAACCAGTCCTTGGAGAGGGACATCATGCTTGGAAGGGTGAAGGGAGAGAGAAAGAGAGGGAGGCCATTGATGAGATGGATTTATTTAGTGACTGGAGTAATAAGAGTAGGTGTGTAAGAGACAGTAAAGTTGGCACAGGATAGAGCAGGGTTCAGGGCTCTTGTACATAGGGTCGCTATGAGTCATGAGAGGCTTAACAGCACATAACGACAGCATGTATTTTGCTAATTTCAGGAGAGGAAAGATGAAAATTCTCTCTAAGACTTTAGTTAATTAGCTAATTAGAAAGTAGTGCAGATGGTGTGTTTCTAATATGTTTCCCTCATCTCTTTTGTTGAATAGCTGTTTCTCCTTTAATGATGGATTACTATGCTGTGTGTGTGCACATGTAATGCAGCTTCAATGATTGGGTTAACACTTGTTGTTATGACTAATTAAGAAAGCAAATAAACAAACAAATCTTAACTCATAGCTGACCCGTTGGCTTTATAAATCACACAGAAAGAGATGTCCCACCTTTCTTCCGGGAAACCAGTGGTGGATTCAAAGTGCGAGAGAAGAGTGGCCTTTGGTCATATGCCTATAGACTTGTAAACTGCCTATGGACTAGGTCAGCTATTTGCTGGAGCTCCCTACATATAGGCACTCAAATACATAATAAATCAAATATAAAGCTATCTCTTGTTCATATCCTAATCTTGGACAGAGAAACAGGTACCTGGCAGTTGCCCTTGGAGTTTCTAAGAGGGCCATGGCTAAAGGAGGCTCCAGTACCTTCAGCATGCAGCTTCCACAGCCTCACTGCTTGCATCATACAGAACCGGAAGATAGCACGGAGCACACCTGTGGGCTTTTGATGAATCAGATCTGGAAGTGGTACACATCCGATAACGTAGTATTAACATCCCCAACCACAAGAGATCCTGACGGGAGAATATAGCCTCATTGTGTGCCCAGAATAAAAGGATGATAACATAGATTTGCTGAATAGTAATCAATATCTGGCTCAGTGTTTTTACACTGATGCTTAAATAGACGCACAGCTCATCAGAGCAACATAGATTTTATTTCCTCTTGTGACCATTTGAACTATGGCTTCTTCTAAGTAATCCTAAAAGAAATACAACTTAGAAGTAAGAGTGCCGAGATGTTGACTTATGTACTTTGGACTCATCACTGAGACAATCAATGGCTGTGAAATGACTGAATTGGTACACGGTTTGAATCCACCAGCTACTCTGCAGGAGAAAGATGGACAATCTATTCTGTGCAATTTACTGTCTCTGAAGACCTGCTGGAGGCTCGGCTGAGATGATTCGAAGTTGATGGTGCATGACAACAATGTCTGTATGAGCCTTGCAGACATGCTTCCTAATGGTCCTTTCTTTTCTCTCAGGTCCTTGGGTGGAACAGATAGTTTATGCCCAACTATTTGCCTATAGGCTGACGGTTGAAGCCCACTGAGTGACTTCGTGGAAGAAAGAACTATCAGTTAGCTTCGATAAAGATGGAAGCCAAAGGATGGGGCTGAAGAAATTGGATAGATCCTGTCAGGATGTGAAAAGATAGGGTGATACTAAGCATAGATCAATGATGATTAACTTTATAAAACAGTGGATGGAATGATCATATGAAACACAATGTGAATAAAGGAATGTGTGAAACACAATGTATATGAATTTTATGTGAACTAATATAAAACAAAACAATAATTTAAAAAGATGACAGCCAAGCAAATTCCATGGAGTGTTTTTAGTGAAACACGTGTGATGAGCACACGTCAAAACTGACTAGATGAATTCATAGATTCATGAGAATCCACAGATATGGAGAAAATCACTACATAAAATCA